TTTCACTCTATACCTAGCTAGTCACCCATGCCTGTAGACGACTATGTTTGGTTATCAAGGCCACATTTGAAAAGGAAAAGAACCAAGAGCATTCATAAACAGGATACAGCAAGAGCTAGAGCTGCACAGTGAATAAACACAAAAGAGAGTAAAAAGGGTTTTGTAGAAAGCAGGTCAAGATCCCAGCCATTAGGAGGGTGGGAAACGAGTGTTAGGCCTTGGGAAATACGTCCTAGATAGGAGAAGACCTGAAGCTAGCCCTCTGCTCCCCTTAACTTTGGCAGCCTTCCTGGAAGGCATGAACTTCCAGAAATATATAGATTCTGGCAACCAAACATTTGGTTAGGGGAATCTTTCTCCTGGGCTTCCAGGAAAAAAAAAAAAAAAGCCAAAATAGTTTAAGTCATCATTTCCTCCTGCTAATCCTCTTCTCCCATTCTGTTCCTTCACGATCTCGCACCACCTTCTCCATCATGCTGATCTGAGACAGAGGAACCAAGACCGAAAATAAGGAAATGAGAGGAAGGGGCATTTGGGGACCGTGATAGATGTGGAATTTGGGAGAGTCCTCAAGTCCCCGAATCTTTGCTAGATAAACAGACAAGCTCTCTGCTGCCTCTGGCTGAGCTGTAACTTGGGTGAAGTTACTTCTGCTTCAGACGCATTTAACCTTTAATCTGGGGATTCCCAATCATGTTACTGACATTAATTCTTCTATCCCACACCAACTGTAGGTTGATGGGAAAAATAAACCAAAACACAAGATCTTCCCAGCTATGGAGTCCCATGAGGTAACATGCAAATAATATTTACTTAATGTTTATTCCTTCATAATTTATTTGCACTTTACTGAAGAGGAAAATAAGCCATAAAAGGTATAAATAAGGCAATTTTATACCTGCTTTTCAGTCTCTGACTTCATCAAAATCAATAATGTTTTAAAATATTTTTCTTCCTAGAAATCCTTAAAAATTTAGAACCTGAGACATGGCCATTTCATACATGGGAAAACTGAGATATACATGATTAAAACGTATTACTCCCAAACTAAGACTCATAAAATAGTGCCTAGGTGAGAAAACCAAAAGCCCTCATTCTCAGGGCAAGTGTTCTCATTGAATTCATACCCAACTTTGAAACATTGAATCCACTTAAAGTCTGTGAAATAATGTGGCAACTGCCTTCAAGTTGGAGTTCTTGATACCAAGAACAATGCTGAGCCTGGGGTGGTAGCGCTAGTAATCATAGTCCTCGACCTTTGCAAAGGGTTTCATGGCTTACAAGAGCTCTACAGTCACTATTGCTGCCTTAAACAAGGACATCAATTGTATCCCTTTTAGACACAAGGATATGGGAACTCGGGGAGGTTTACTGGCTTATCAGAGAACAAAGTTACCAACAGGCAAAAGTGGGCCTGAAACTCATGTTTTCTAAACCCAAGTTCCATGAGAACACACTCAGGGGAAAGACACTACCTGCCTTTTCCTGAGAATCTTGGAGGAGGCGGAGAGAAGTCATTCTCAGCATCACGAGAGCAAAGAAGGAATTTGCCATCATTGGGCACTTAAATGGTCATACAGAACTGCTCTGGGCACTGTAGCTACTGTAGCTCTAACTCCTAACAGCCTGCAATCTAAGACAAACATACCAGGAAGAACAAATATGTAATGACATACAGGTGATAGAATATAAACAGTCAACTCCTACAAGAACAGACAGGAAAGCATTTATATCATACACATAACCAACCAGGTAGGTTTAGGGTGTGGAGAACATATGTGCATAAACGAAAAGGGAAGACATATGATAAAGAAGCACAAATCAGGGGAGAGAGAGGCACACACTCTAATCTAGGAAAGGTATTCGAAGGAGGGAGGAGATCAATTTTAGGAGTTGTTCCTCTTTTTTTTTTTTTTTTCCTTCTTTTTAATTTAAGAAATGGAGTAGCTATATTAAGAACAGAGTAGAGTTGAAGACTGTGAGATTTGGAAAAGAAACTTATCCTAAGCCAGAGATGACAAAAATTTTAGAACTTTCTGTGATACAGACAGCCAGCTGTGCCACAGGCTTGCCACCCCTGTCCTAGACATTGGGAACTTCTGTTAAGATGGGTGGGAAGAGACAAAAGGGCAGTGTCAATGGACAAAGAGAGCTTTGAGCAAGTGGAAATTTAAGGGTGATTACAACCTGTCTTGACTCCTAGGCTGTATCTAAGTGTTTCCACCCCCATAATTTCAGAAGGCACATGCCTCCCCCATTTCTTTTTTGTTTCTTCTTCTTCTTCTTCTTCTTCTTCTTCTTCTTCTTCTTCTTCTTCTTCTTCTTCTTCTTCTTCTTCTTCTTCTTCTTCTTCTAATGTA